AAATATCATAATGGTTTACAGTGTATGTATAGGCTTCTCCATTATTGAGACGTAAATGAAAATAAAAAACAAATGGAACACATTTGAAACACAGAAAGATTGTTATAATGGAGCAGCCTACCTGCCGAACACCGAACGAAATTGACATTTGTTGTATATCAGATATTTCATTTCTTTTTTTCCTACAAAACGTCAATGCTTTGCAACATCTCAGCAGTCACCCTTTTATATCCCAGTCATTAGCATCTTTAAACAAGAACAACATAATTTATGTGCATCGTCGGAGGCTCTAAGAATGTGCAAACAGCAGCGCGACCCCACCATGTTGTGTTGACGTTACTCAAACCAGCGTTCGTCATACGGGACGATTTGACGCCGATCGGGCCGTTCGTTACCCAAAATATTCGTCTTTTGGGGCAATCGTTATGCGAGGTACCACTGTGTATGTATATGTATGTATATGTATATATAATATATATATATATCTATATATATATATATAATATAATATGTTATATATATATATATATATATATATATATATATATATATATATATATATATATATATATATATATATATATATATATATATATATACAGAGCACCACTTGGTTTCCGAACCCCTTGGGGACGAGACCCGTCGGTTAACATGTAAGTTCGTATACGAGAAATAGAGGGGAAAAAATAAACTAGAAATGTAAAAAGAAATTTTTCAGAAAAACTTATGAAAAAAACTCTAGGGAAAAAAAATCGTCAGGTTCATGGCGTAAATGCTACCGTGTTTTGTTTGTACTCATCAATAAGTGAAGTCCTGATCCGCTTTATAAAAGTCCTTAATTGTTCCTAACTGATTATTAAGACGTCTGGCAAACATCCTCTGGATGTTTCCTGCCAGCCTGCAGGCACATCCTGCCTAAAATATACGATGATGTACTGTACATTTAAGAAACAAATCTGAGTCACAGGTCTGTGGAGTGTGGTTAGGCTTACGGAGTCAGCCGGTCCCTCCCCCACCACCAACACACCTCCCCCACCACCGACACACCTCCCCCTCTCCCCCCACCACCGACACACCTCCCCCTCTCCCCCCACCACCGACACACCTCCCCCACCCCAAACCCATACACACACACACACACACTCTCAAAGGTCACGTGGTTTACGGTTCACTTCAACACCCATATATCGCTTCCTGCCTGCCTGCTTCTTTCCCAGCCTGCCTCCTTCCCAGCCTGCCTCCTTCCCAGCCTGCCAGCCTGCTTCCTTCCCAGCCTGCCAGACTGCTTCCTTCCCAGCCTGCCTCCTTCCCAGCCTGCCAGCCTGCTTCCTTCCCAGCCTGCCTCCTTCCTAGCCTGCCTGCCCGCCTCCTTCCCAGCCTGCCTCCTTCCCAGCCTGCCAGCCTGCTTCCTTCCCAGCCTGCCTCCTTCCCAGCCTGCCTCCTTCCCAGCCTGCCTCCTTCCCAGCCTGCCTCCTTCCCAGCCTGCCTCCTTCCCAGCCTGCCTCCTTCCCAGCCTGCCAGCCTGCTTCCTTCCCAGCCTGCCTCCTTCCCAGCCTGCTTCCTTCCCAGCCTGCCTCCTTCCCAGCCTGCCAGCCTGCTTCCTTCCCAGCCTGCCTGCCTGCCTTCCCAGCCTGCCTCCTTCCCAGCCTGCCTCCTTCCCAGCCTGCTTCCTTCCCAGCCTGCCTCCTTCCCAGCCTGCCTCCTTCCCAGCCTGCCTCCTTCCCAGGTTGCCTCCTTCCCAGCCTGCCAGCCTGCTTCCTTCCCAGCCTGCCTCCTTCCCAGCCTGCCAGCCTGCTTCCTTCCCAGCCTGCCTGCCTGCCTCCTTCCCAGCCTGCCTCCTTCCCAGCCTGCCTCCTTCCCAGATTGCTTCCTTCCCAGCCTGCCTCCTTCCCAGCCTGCCTCCTTCCCAGCCTGCCCTCCTTCCCAGCCTGCCTCCTTCCCAGCCTGCCAGCCTGCTTCCTTCCCAGCCTGCCTGCCTGCCTCCTTCCCAGCCTGCCTCCTTCCCAGCCTGCCAGCCTGCTTCCTTCCCAGCCTGCCTCCTTCCCAGCCTGCCTCCTTCCCAGCCTGTCAGCCTGCTTCCTTCCCAGCCTGCCTCCTTCCCAGCCTGCCTCCTTCCCAGCCTGCCTCCTTCCCAGCCTGCCAGCCTGCCTCCTTCCCAGCCTGGCAGCCTGCTTCCTTTCCAGCCAGCCTGCCTCCCTCCCTGCCATCATGCTAACGGGTAGTGTGTGTTAGGCTTATCTTCGGGAATGAGCCGGTCTCACCCCCACCACCAACAAACCACCCGCCCCCCTACATCCCATCTCTCGTGACTACCACTCACTCCCTGCCTGCAAGCTAGCCTGCCTGCCTGCCTGCCTGTCTGCCTGCCTGCCTGTGCCTGCCAGCCTGCCTTTCCCTCCCTAATTCTCACTACTTGCATCCCTTCCTGCCTACCTCCTAGCATCTCTCCCTACCTCCCCCTCCCTCTTAGCATCTCTCCCTACCTCCTAACATCTCTCCCTACCTCCCCCTCCCTCCTAGCATCTCTCTCCCCCCCTCTCTCACTGATTCTCCCCCCCCCCCCTCATTCATACTGCCTCCCACCTAAGCTCCATCGTCCATCCACCCACCAGTCAGCCATCACTGACGCAATGCGTGCATTTGGAGCCAACATGGTGCACAGATGTTTCTTGATTGTGCAGATATGTAAAACAAAAGCACAGAATGAACATTCCAGCCTTATGGCAATTCAAAATAATAGGAATAATAGGCCGTGAATCTGTGAAGTCACAGTGGGCAAACTGGACCATCGCCCACCCACCACCACAAGCCGGCGTGACGCTTGGTGGACCCCTTCCTACCCGAACTTTGTTCGGGTAGCATGACTCCCCAACCCCAATCGGGAAACTGGAAGTTTCGGATAACTAAAGTTCGGAAACCAAGTGGTGCTCTGTATATATATATATATATATATATATATATATATACAGTGGTACCTCGGAATGCGATTGTCCCTGTATGTGAGGTTTTCGGAAGGCGAGGTGTATTTACTCCAAAAATTTGTCTCGGAAGGCGATGGTTACTTCGGGAGGCGAGTTTGGACGCGAGTTTGTTGATACGCGTACAGCCGACCTAGCGCGCGGTGGTTCGGCGATCGTCGCCCCTCCGCCCCGCCGCCCCTCAGTTTATTATTGTCTTGCGCTCAGTGACTACCCCCACATCAATTCTTCTCGCGGATTTTCAGTGTTTTTTTGGATTTTTGGTGATTTGTCTATACAATTTGTTATTATATATCTCACCATGGGTCCCAAGAAAGCCAGTGGTAAGGATAAAGGCCAGAAAGCTCATGTGAGGATGACAATAGAGGAGAAACAAGAGATCATTCGGAAGCATGAGAACGGTACACGTGTTGTTGAACTTTGTAGGCAGTACAACAAAGCCACATCAACAATATGCACTTTACTTAAGAAGAAAAATAAGATTATGGGTGCTAAAGTGGCAAAAGGAGTAAGAACAATAACGAAACAAAAGACCACAAATACTTGAAGAAGTGGAAAAGTTGTTATTAATTTGGATACACGACAAGGAGTTGAGGGGTGATAGTGTTTCGGAGGCCATTATTTGTGAGAAAGCCAGGGTGTTGCACGAAGACCTTCTAAAGAATACCCCTGCAACGAGTGATGCAGATAAGAAAGAGTTTAAGGCAAGCAGGGGCTGGTTTGAAAAATTTAGAAAGAGAAGTGGTATCCATAGTGTTACAAGGCATGGGGTTATGTGATGTGATTATGGAAGGGGACTCCCCTTCCAAACAGTAACTCCTCTCCTCCTCCCCCCTCCTCACCATCTTCCATACGCCTACAGCACTCGACAGCAAGGTAAGTAATAACTGGAACACAGTTTTGTAGGTTTATTTAGATGAATTAGGTAAATTAGGTATAAAAATTTAGTTTGATGTGGGGTTTTTGGGGTAGTCAGGAACGGATTAATTCATTTCCCTTTATTTCTTATGGGGAAATTAACTTCGGAATGCGAGTTTTCGGAAGGCGAGGTGTCTCCAGGAACGGATTAAACTCTTATTCTGAGGTATGCCTGTATATATATATATATATATATATATATATATATATATATATACTGAGAAGTGAGTTCTGGCTACTAGGTACGACATATATATATATATATATATATATATATATATATATATATATATATATATATATATATATATATATATATATATATATATATATATATATATATATATATATATATATATATATATATATGTCGTACCTAGTAGCCAGAACTCACTTTTTGGCCTACTATTCAAGGCCCGATTTGCCTAATAAGCCAAGTTTTCCTGAATTAATATATTTTTTTCTAATTTTTTTCTTATGAAATGATAAAGCTACCCATTTCATTATGTATGAGGTCAATTTTTTTTTATTGGAGTTAAAATTAACGTAGATATATGACCGAACCTAACCAACCCTACCTAACCTAACCTAACCTATCTTTATAGGTTAGGTTTGGTTAGGTAGCCGAAAAAGTTAGGTTAGGTTAGGTTAGGTAGGTTAGGTAGTCGAAAAACAATTAATTCATGAAAACTTGGCTTACTAGGCAAATTTGGCCTTGCATAGTAGGCTGAGAAGTGAGTTCTGGCTACTAGGTACGACATATATATATATATATATATATATATATATATATATATATATATATATATATATATACATACATGTTATAATGAACAATTTCTTTAACTGACATGTTTAAAAAATTACAAATGACAATAGTGTTAGTTATATTAAACCTTATAGTGGTTATTAAAAATATCTTAACTTTTGCAAGGAACTAATTTCTAGCACACAATACTACAAGTTAACTTGACATTTAGTAAGTAAGTAATTATCAAAAGAAGGCACCAAGCTTGGAATGCTATGAAGCACAAACTTGGCATTAAATTCTCAATACAAATATCATAATTATGAACATTAGTTGATATATAATACTCTACTTACCAGTATCTTCATCTTCTTCCCTGTATTCATACACATAATAACCAATGTTGCTTGGAGCATATTGGCTTGATGTGTGACTACAGACAGGCACACTATACGCTCCTTCTTTCTCTGTTTCTGAGCCTTCCTCATTATTGTTACTTGGAAGGTCCCGATTACATCGTCCAGCTTCCCAATCACTGTGCTGATTTGTGTCACTCAAGTCCAAACCCCACAACTGAAAGACAACACACCAATGTCGACAGAAAATTAACATCAGGATGGCCAACAAAAAAAAATTTGACCATTTACTGACATCCTTAACAAAGTGTACTTATTCATGAATTTAGTGCCAATTGGAATAAACCAATTGGAAACAATTTTTTGAAAATAAAGAAAATTACTCGGCCTATTAGGCAAATCAGGTCTTGAATAGTAGGCCGAGAAGTGCGTTCTGGCTACTAGGTGCATTTTATATATATACAGTGGTACCTCAACTTACGATTGAACAGGTATGTTAGGTGACAGGAAATGTGCTGTATCATTTCTGTCTTACCTGGGATTCGAACCCAGAATTCTAAATTATGAATCAAGAATGTACCTGACTGTGCTACTGGGACCTTTATAAATTAACAAATTAAAAGCCAAATTTAAAACAAACCTCATCACTACATGTACAAGTTTCAGAGTCAATACTTGGAGAGCAACATTTATGTGGCTGTGGACTCCGTAAAGAAGATCCAAGTGAAGGACGGAGAGAGGATGTTGAAGCAACTGGGACTGAGGTCAGAGTAACAGGTGAAGACCATGGCTCTGGACTTGTGGCAGTGATGAGCGATGCACAAGTTGAAGTGCTAGATGCTTGAGCAACTGAGCCAGTACTGGTTTTGGCACATGAAAACATGGCTTCTGTGTCCACATCCTCTTCTTCTGGCGTAGTGTAAAACTTCTCTGCATCTAGGAGAAGACATACAATAGCCAGATGTCCCAGCTGTGCTGCGCGACCCAATGCTGTCCGTCCACATGATGGTAGCACATTCACATTGGCACCTGCTTACAAATATATTAAAAAAAGGAATTTGAGTGCAGGTAATATAAAATTCTGCAAAAATTATTTGTCACCAATCATTATTTATAAATAGTATCCTTATATCAACACACACCTCATGAAACACACAAAGCATTATATGACAGAGTGCTGGGGAGACGGGACATCACAAGCGTAGCTCTCATCCTGTAACTACACTTAGGTAATTACAATAACAAAAAATTATCCCCCTACTGTTTAGAAAACTATTGATACCTTAAAGGCTAAATATTAACAAATATATAATCATTTATATACAGACCTTTCTTTAATAGGTCCATTACAGTATCTACATCTCCAATGTTGATGGCATCATATAACATATCTGCCATTGCTGTCAGTGTGGTCATCGTTGGTTATGTGGCACCGTCAGCTTGGGTGCTAAGCCAGGTAATGTACACATCAGCCTAAAAGTTATGAACCTTAAGTAACAGTTAATATGCAAAAGACATACTAATCAAAGCAGTATATTAAACTTAACAAAAGTAAAGAACTAAATTATGTTTTAATTAAATGTTTAACTAGTCAAGTGGTATAATATTTACAGCACATTATATAAATCGGTTGATTTTATTAAATTATGTATCAAAGTTGTGTAATATAATTTTTGTACAATACCCTAAACATTGTGAAGCATGCGAGACATTTTAATAAACTAATTTATGTACATCATAAAAATCACAAACCGAATCATATGAAATGCCCACTTCAGGTGGGCCAGCAGTGAATTCCTGAACTTTATACTGGTACCACCAAGTCTTTGCCTAACAAACCAGGCTTCTGAGACCCATCAATCACCTACCAGGAGCAAGAATTTGCTTATTAACCCCTCAACTGCACAACGCGCCTGCAGGCCCTTGACGGGGGTGCACAACGCGACTCTGGGTATTTATATTTTTAGCGTTCCATTCAAAACTCCCGCAGCTACATGGGGTTCACATCAGCTACCTCAGGGCTCTTGTAAACAGACGCCATCTTTAAAAAAAAAACGTGGGCCAAATTCCCGGGTGTGAGAGCCTCAGTACTGAGTGAGCAACCAAGACTGATGCATGCAGCATGAGCTCACAGCACTGCTGTTCAGTTTGTGACCACAGCATAGCCTAATAATGTCAAAATATATATATAACTTATTATTTTGTCATGATAGTATTACAGAAGAGCCTGAGTGTGATAATTATGTTATACAATGTTCAAATATCAGTGATTCAATGCTGTTCCCGATGTTCTGAGTGCTAGCCACAGCACCACAGCATTATTTCGTCCATCTAGAAATCTTCAAACGACTTCTTTGGTTCCTTTACAACATAAACTTGTGGTCAATTATTCATTTACAGGAATTAGTGACCAGGATTGTGATAATAGCAGGATTGTGGTGATAATTAGCGCTGTGCATGGGAGGAGGACGTTTGGTGAGGGAGGGAGGGAGGAATTCGAGGTAACCTCACTGTGTGTGGCAGTCACTCTTGCTTTACTATCATGCTAGCTTAGTGGTTCACTATGGTGAACACATATGTACATGGGTATATACAATGTGTGAATGTACCCATGTACATATGTGCGTAGTATTGTGGGAGGAGGAATTTTGGTGAGGGAGAGAGGGAGGGAGAGAATCGAGGTAGCCTCATTGTGTGTGGCAGCCACTCTTTGTTTTGCTCACCATACTGGCTTAGTGGTTTGCTATAGTAAACACATATGTACATGGGTATATACTATGTATGTATATTGTGTAATACTGCAACAGCAACAGGAGTATGTTGGGAGGAGCTATTTTGGTAAGGGAGGTAACGTCATAATCGTAGCGTCGTTTGCTGTCTGTTGTGTGATATCTCATGCAGTGTATGGTGGCCACTATACTTTTTGGACACAATTCCGGCTTACTTGCATAGTTCTGGTGAATAAAACATGTAGATAGGTAAACATAACATGTGCAAATAGTGTAATAAAATCAATAACATTTTGGTGGGAGAAGCAATGTTGGCAAGTAAGATGTTGCAGGAGGAAGGACTGGCTGGGTGTTGCAGCTCACACTCGTGGAGTTCTGAGTGTGTTATGGTGAATGTATATACCAGTAGTGTGCGACAGTGTATAGTGTGTAAATATGTTGTAAATATACATAAGTGTAATTACCTAAGTGTAGTTACAGGATGAGAACTACGCTCATAGTGTCCCGTCTTCCCAGCACTCTGTCATAAACGCTTTGAAACTACTGAAGGTCTTGGCCTCCACCACCTTCTCACCTAACTTGTTCCAACCGTCTACCACTCTGTTTGCGAAAGCTTGCGAAGATGTTCTTACATTTCTTCGGCATCTGTGTTTACTTAGTTTAAATCTATGACCTCTTGTTCTTGAAGTTCCAGGTCTTGGGAAATTTTCCCTATATATTTTATCGATACCTGTTACTATTTTGTACATAGTGATCATATCACCTCTTTTACTTCTATCTTCTAGTTATGGCATATTTAATGCCTCTAACCTCTTCTTATTGCTCTTGTCCTTCAGTTCTGGGAGCCACTTAGTGGCATGTCTTTGCACCTTTTCGAGTTTGTTGATGTGCTTCTTTAGATATGGGCACCATACAACCACTGCATATTCGAGCTTTGGCCTAACAAAAGTCATGAACAATTTCTTTAGTATTTCGCATCCATGTATTTAAAACAATTCTGAAGTTAGAAAGTGTAGCATAAGCCCCCTCACACAATGTTCTTAATGTGATCCTCAGGTGATAGTTTTCTATCTAGAACCACCCCTAGATCTCTTTCTTTATCAGAATTCTTTAAAGATTTCTCACAAAATTTATAGGTTGTGTGGGGTCCATGTTCTCCTATTCCACATTCCATAACATGGCATTTATTTACATTAAAGTGGTGCTCCATATATGTACTTATTCTGTTCAGGTCTTCTTGAAGGGTATGACAATCATCTAAGTTACTTATCTTCCCTATTATCTTAGCATCATCAGCAAACATGTTCATATAATTCTGTATTCCATCTGGTAGATCATTTATGTAGACAATGAACATTACCGGTGCAAGAACTGAACCCCTATGGTACCCCGCTTGAAACATTTCTCCAGTCCAATACACTTCCTCTTATTAATGCCCTCATTTTTCTATCAGTCAGAAAATTTTTCATCCATGTTAGTAGGTTACCTGTCTCCCCTCCAATGTGTTCCAGTTTCCAGAACAACCTCTTAAGTGGAACTCTGTCAAAAGCCTTTTTTAGGTCCAGATAGATGCAGTCAACCCAACCATCTCTTTCCTGTAAAATTCCTGTGACTCGATCATAGAAACTGGGTAAATTTGTTACACAGGATCTTCCAGATTGAAAACCATACTGATGATCTGATATTATATCGTTTGTCTCCAGGTGTTGTACCCATTTAGTTTTAATTATTTTTTCCAATATTTTGACTATTACACTTTGTCAACGATATAGGTCTATAATTCAAGGGGTCTTCCCTGCTACCACTTTTGTAGCTTGGAACTATGTTAGCCTTTTTCTACACGTCTGCTACGACTCCTGTACACAGGGATGCCTGAAAAATCGGGTGAACTGGAATGCTGAGCTCAGGTGCACATTCTCTCAGAACCCATGGAGAAACTCCATCTGGGCCAGCTGCTTTGTTCTTACTTAGCTCCTTGAGCATATTTTCCACTTCATCTCTAGACACCTTGATGTGCTCTATGTTGTTCTCTGGAATTTGTATTGTGTCTGGTTCTCTGAAAATTTCATTTTGTAAAAACACTTTGGAACTTTTCATTTAATATCTCACACATTTTCTTTTCATTTTACCGTGAATCTCTTTCCCATTTCCAACCTCTGGATATTATCCTTTAACTGCAATTTGTTGTTTATGAATTTGTAGAATAAGCCTGGTTCTGTTTTACATTTGTTCACTATCGCTTTTTCAGAATTTCTTTCTGCGTCTCTCCTTACTGCTATGTAGTTGTTTCTCACATCTTTGTATTGCTGGTACGTTTGGGGGTTTGGTCTCTTCCTATATTGATTCCATTTTTGTGTCTTTTGGTCTCTGGCCCTCTCGCAATTTCTGTTGAACCAATCCTGTTTTCTGGCCCTGCATCTCCGTTTAGGTATGAATGTTTGTGTGCCTTCATTGTATATTTTGCAAAATTTGGCATACATCTCATTTACTTCCCTGCCTAAAAACAAGTCTGTGCAAGTACACTTGTTAAAAAAATTTCATATTTTTGTTAGCCTTTTAAGTAACCCTAGATGAGTATTGATTTTGGCCAGGCAATGGATTCCCAGTGATGCTGTGGAGCATGAGGTCATGACATAAATAAGTAAAAAACCAGCATTGAATGTAATGAAATGCCATTTTCTGGGTGAGCCCTGGAGTCTCCCTGGAGCTTATCGGGCTAATGTATGTATGCCTACCTTTCTGGGTGCCTAACCCCGGTCGATGGCAGATAAGGAAAACCCCCAACCACAATGGGGTTTTCCAGGGTCATTGCTCCCTGAAACCTCTCTGAAGGGGCCAGGTTCTGGCGCTGGTCCCTGGTAGGTCTGAACTCCATAGCTAATGTCCCGGTCTAACATAACATACATTAGCCCGATAAACTCCAGGGAGCCGTAGGGGCTTCCCTTAAATGGGTAAATGGTAAAAAATTTACAGTACAAATTGAAACATGTTGGTTTCTATAGGCCATTGTTCCTCGTGCCTCTCTGAAGGGGCCAGGTTGTGGTTCGTGGTCCCCAGTAGGCCTAAGAACTCCATTCGCTTCGAAGCCACGGTCTAATACAGGGGTTACCTTACCTTGAGGTGCTTCCGGGGCTTAGTGTCCCCGCGGCCCGGTCGTCGACCATGAGTACCTCGGTTTAAGAATTTAATCCGTTCCTGGAGACAGCTCATAAAATTCGTAAACTGAAGCGAATTTTCCCATAAGAAATAATGGGAAATGAATTAATTCATTCCTGAATACCCAAAAACTTCACTTCAAACTAAATCTTATCCAAATCTACGCTACAAAAGTATGTTCAAGTTATTACTTACCCTTGCTGATGACTCCTGTTGGCGTATGGAAGATGGTGAGGAGAGGGGAGGAGGAGAGGTGTTACTTGTAAGGGGAGTCCCCTTCCATTATAACATCAGGCAGTAAAGATTTTTCTGGAGTGCACTCTCTGGCACGATTTGCCTGCATACCACTAGGACCTGCTTGTGGCTCACTGCTTGCTTGTCTTACTAAGAATCTGTCTAAAGACACTTATTTTTCCCTACATTTTAACACTTGTCTGTAGTAAGACATCACATTGTTATTTAAAAGGTCCATGCAACGGCCTGCTACAGCTTTATCTGGGCGAGTTTTTCAACAAAACTTTGCAGTTCTTCCCATACTTCACACATTTTCTTAATGAGGCAGGGATATCCTCAATTGCCTCTACACACAACTAACTATTTTCTTAGGTTGAACCTTACAACTGGCTTTTTTGGGACCCATGGCGATATATAATCTTTTATGCTCAAATGGCCAAAAATCCGACAAAAAACTGTAAATCCTTGTGAAGAATTCAGGCTGGATAGTCACTGAGCACGAGGCACTTGTAAACTGAGGCGTGATCACCATGCCACCACACACTAGGTCGGCCCGTACGCATATCAACAAACTCGTATCCCGATGCATATTTTCCGAACAAATCAGGCTGGTAAGCCGAAAAACTCGTAAACAGGGATGCTCGTAACCCGAGGTTCCATTGTACTGAACAGCATTTGCTAACCAAATTAACTTACTTCATAAACTAAAGGAAGAAGTCTATGTACCATTCATAATTATTTTTAGACAGGCCCCCAAGAAGGACAAATTAATGTCCTGCTTAAGGTGTAGCTGGACAGAGGACCGAATGCTCAAAAGCAGAAATGTCCACCTAAAGAAGGATGATTGGCCACCCTATTCACCAGGAAAGAAGATATTTGACATTCAGTACCTTCCTTCCTTCCTTCCTTCCTTCCTTGGGAAAAAGCAACCATGGTCTTTTGGAAATATAATATATACAATATGTTATAATCTAGAAGAAAATGAGGAAAAAGCATTTGAAAACTATTTCAGGACATTTCAGGATACAGGGAACTTAGCAAGTTCTTGATTTGATTGAAAAGACATGTTGTTAGGCATTCAAGTAAATGAGATGTATGCAAAGCATTGTGCAATATAGTTACCTGAATTTACCTGAGGGAGGCCACTAATACTGAAGTTGCGTTGATGTGGACAGGAAGCCAGTGGCTTGTCAGAGGTTCCCCCATTTCTCTGGATGATTTCTTCAAGCTGGATTTTAAGGTTCAGCAGAGTTTGGGGATTTACGGTTTCTGCAGGTAGACAATTCCATGGGTTTATAACCCTATGGATGAAAAGGCATCTCCTGTTTTCTGTCCTACATTGTGGCTTGTTCAGCTGGAAACTGTTGCTCCTTGTTTGTTACATCTGACCTTTAGAAGAAATTATCTGGATCAACATCCTCCAAATTGTACAGTACAGTATTATAACAGTTTTGATGAGATCCACCATGTCATGCCTGGTTTGCATTGTCAGTCCTGTGGCCCTCAAGTGTTCCTGGTATGAGAGTTGTCTTAGTTCTGGAATGATTTTTATTGACCAGTGTTGAACTTTCTCCAGAGCAGCTATGTCTTTTGAAGATGAGGTCTCCATGCTTGGATACTATAATGTAAGTGGGGGATCACACAAGATATTTATACAGTTGAATACAGTATAACTACCTTCTTTTCCTTAAAGTCAAAGGTACACTTGATTATACCTAAGGTTTTTAGTTTTTTTTACTGCTGCTCCCACATGTTGGGCAACTTTCAGTGAATGGTGGATCCTGACTCAAAGGTCCTTTTCTTCCTCTATCCGCTGCAAGGAAATGTTATTAATTTGGTAGTTGTGGTGTGGATTGAAATGCAAGATCTTGCACGTGAACCCCCACATGCAAGATCTTGCACGTGAACCCCCACATGCAAGATCTTGCACGTGAACCCCCACATGCAAGATCTTGCACGTGAACCCCCACATGCAAGATCTTGCACGTGAACCCTCACATGCAAGATCTTGCACTTTTTTTATATTAAAAAGCATTTACCAGTCTTCTGACCATTTGTGGAGTTCATGTAGATCTTTTTGTAAAGCCTCAATATCAAAAAACAGTAATGCAATACTGTGCTGTATATTGAAACTCAAATTAAATATGAAAGATTTAAAGAAAGTTTGAATTTGATTGATATTGCTCACATAAATGCATTGAAAATCATGTTTCTGTAATTGAAAAGGATAAATAGTTTCTTCAAGCACAAAGAGAAAATGGTAAGAACGGCTACACAGGTGCTGTTAAAAATAAAAAACACCTGCAAGAGGAAATAGAAAATGGAAAAAATAGAGATAATTTTAAAAATCTGAAGCATTAAGATAGGATAAAATATTGGCAGTTGCTAAAAATACTTCTTCAAGCAGTAGCAATAAAAGTACTGATTCCAAATGTGATCTACCTTACAGGAAGAAATGCACACCCAAACCTTCCACCAATGTAATCAGAAAACATCCCAAACATATTGTCACCTGATCTGCAAATAGCGTTAGATAGAACAAAAATAAATGACCGTAGTGCTTTGATGGTGGTAGCATTGGATACATTTTTTTTTTTTTTAGGTTTTTTATTTATATATAATACAAGAGTTCTTACATTCTTGTACAGCCAATAGCACTCATAGTGCTTCGGGCAAGTCCTTAATCCTATGTGGCCGCCTGACAGTTGGATGGACAGCGCTTCAGATTCGTAGTCCTGAGGTTCCGGGTTCAATCCCCGGTGGAGGCAGAGACAAATGGGCAAAACGTTTCTTTCACCCTGATGGCCCTGTTACCTAGCAGTAAATAGGTACCTGGGAGTTAGACAGCTGCTACGGGCTGCTTCCTGGGGATGTGTAACAAAAAAAGAGACCTGGTCGAGGACCGGGCCGCAGGGATGCTAAGCCCCGAAATCATCTCAAGATAACCTCAAGATATGTTCCCTGGAATACGACCCACCAAATCGCTTAATAACCAGGTACCCATTTTACTGTTGGGTAAACAGAGGCTACAGTTAAGGATTGACGCTCAGTTAATCCTCCCCAGCCAGGATACGAACCCAGGACAAAGCGCTCGCGACACACCAGGCGAGTGTCTTACCACACCATGGGGACTGTTTGTCAAGTCCCTTCATATACAAGACGATTTACCAGGGGATTTTGGAACCTACTTAACCTAACCCAAATCAATCTAATCTAACTCAACTGAGCCTCATACATCCTAACCTAAGCTAATACAGCCTAGAATAACAATATACAGTATACGCTTTTAACAAACAGAAAACGAGCTTCATCGAAACGTCTCATGTCTGAAACAACCAGTCACTGTAGCATCAACTGTTACTGCCCTTGGAATTGATGATAATGATGATGGTTTGAGTAGATGTACATTGCAGAGGAAAAAGGAGTGCTATACATAAAGAGATAGGCTCTGAGGATATCAAATGAACCTTACTTTACCACAGATGTCCCACTCGCTGTATACAGGGATGAAAAAAATTTGCAAGATATATCGGGTTGCAACAATAGAGTGTACCTATTCTGGTATCAGCAGAAGGAATTTCAAAACTCCTTATTGTCCCAAAACTTTGTTCAGGCAAAGGTATTGATATTACAAGTGGTGATTGAATGTTCGGAAGATTGGAACTTGACAAATAATATACCGACTGTGTTTTTTTTATACTACTGCCTGAAAGGCTGGTATTAAGGAAAGTGCTTGCATCACAATTGAATCTAAGTTTGGGAGATCACTTCTTCTGGCATGTCGACATTATATTAATGAGAAAATCCATAGAAGCCGTGATGAGGATTCAAACCTATGTGGTGGGTAGTCCCATGCACACACCCAGACAATCAGGTCACGACATGGTCTGATGAATCATATCTAGGGGGTGTGCTTGGGACTATCCACCGCATAGGTTCGAATCCTCATCATGACTCCTATGGATTTTCTCTTTGATACATCATGTTAGTGTGATTTCTCTCTGTGAATCATATTAATTAAATCATTACTGTATTTCTGATGTATTTAACAAGTGCCTTGGCGACTCTGTTGGACCAGACATAGTTATTTCAACGTTCCACAAAGAGTTGGGATTTGATATATAAAGAAGAGTATGAGTATGACAAGTCATATTTTGCGGGGAAACAAGCAACTGTTATGTTCTGCAAGGAAGAATTGGAGAACCACCATCCAAAAGCAAATTATCTTGAGCTCCATGAATTAACTATTTTAAATCCTACATTTTCTTATTCTACACTTCCAAAATAAACCTAACCCAACATAATCAAACATAACCTAGCCTGACTCTAGCTGACAGAACAAGTCTAAAAAGGAAGTTGTAAACTGTTCTGCATCTAGCAGCACAGAAGACTATAGCTAAGTATATGTGTATATATTAGTATCTGTATATTAGTTAGTATATCATTAGTATATATTAGTCTTAACTAATACTTGACTTCAATTTTGGAGCCTAAACTAATGGTAGAAAAAAAAGGTACATCTGCTGATAATAAGGTTTTAAATAAACCTAGGAGCACGATTAACTTGAAGGGATGCAAGTCCCATCATACACAAGACGATTTGCCAACAGATTTTGTAACCTACTTAACCCAACCTAAACTAAACCAAACCAACCTCACCTAATTTATTTATTTATTTATTTATTTATTTATTGATATATATATATATATATATATATATATATATATATATATATATATATATACAGTATATACAAGAAGGTACATTGGGATTGTGAGGATACATAGCATAGTACTGTAATTAAATTCTTGTAAAGCCACTAGTACACGCAGAGTTTCGGGCAGGTCCTTAATCTATGAAAATTTTAAGTAGGTAAATACTAGCAAAATTTATAAAAATGATAACAGGTACATAGCAAGAAAAAAAATAAAAGATGAGAGAAATTTGTAGGTATATTAAAGCACATAGGTAGCTCAGATTGATTGCAATGACAGCTTGAATGGTAGTTTAACAAAAATTAGTAGGCACAATACAGCATATGACTACCACATAAAAGAAGACAGCAATGAACACAATGATAAAGTTGTTTGGATTAAGTACATAAAGATTTGGAGATTGGGTAACACTAGATACAAAGCAAATTTAAAGCTCAGTGTAGGAAACTACGAAGATGAAATTAGGTACTTTTTGTTTTTGTTTTTGAAGAGACAAAAGTTTGACAGCTTTTCAATTCACTAGGGAGTGAGTTCCATAGACTAGGTCCCTAATATAACCAAACCCAATAGAGCCTACAGTAACCTACAGTAGGCTAATACATCCTAGCCTAACAATATGCTGTATTTTCTGTATAACAAACATATAACAAGCTTTGTCGACTGTCTTATGCACAAAATGACATACCAACCTTGAAGAATGAAACTCGGACATCTGTTTTAAAAAGCAAAATGCACAAGTCAAATCGTACACATGTTTTGATAAAGTTTGTTTTCTAATTTCTAATTGTAAAAAAGAAATATATCATTAGGTCAGGCTGGATTGGTTTGGGTCAAGTCAAATTGGATGAGACTAGGTTGGGTTGGGTCGGGTCGGGTTGGAATAAGTTGGGTCCGGTCGGGTTGGAATGAGTTGGGTCGGGTCGGGTTGGAATGGGTTGGGTTGGGTCGGGTCGGGTTGGAATGGGTCGGGTCGGGTTGGAATGGATCCGGTCGGTTTGGAATGGGCTGGGTTAGGTCAGGTAGGGTTGGATCAGGTAGGGTTAGGTCAGGAAGGGTTGGGTTAGGTCAGGTTGGGTTAGGTCAGGAAGGGTTGGGTTAGGTCAGGTTGGGTTAGGTCAGGAAGGGTTGGGTTAGATCAGGAAGGGTTAGGTCAGGAAGGGTTGGGTTAGGTCAGGTTGGGTTAGGTCAGGAAGGGTTGGGTTAGATCAGGAAGGGTTAGGTCAGGAAGGGTTGGGTTAGATCAGGAAGGGTTAGGTCAGGAAGGGTTGGTTAGGTCAGGAAGGGTTGGGTTAGGTCAGGTTGGGTTAGGTCAGGAAGGGTTGGGTTAGGTCAGGTTGGGTTAGGTCAGGAAGGGTTGGGTTAGGTCAGGTTGGGTTAGGTCAGGAAGGGTTGGGTTAGATCAGGAAGGGTTAGGTCAGGAAGGGTTGGGTTAGGTCAGGTTGGGTTAGGTCAGGAAGGGTTGGGTTAGATCAGGAAGGGTTAGGTCAGGAAGGGTTGGGTTAGATCAGGAAGGGTTAGGTCAGGAAGGGTTGGTTAGGTCAGGAAGGGTTGGGTTAGGTCAGGAAGGGTTGGGTTAGGTCAGGTAGGGTTAGGTCAGGAAGGGTTGGGTTAGGTCAGGTAGGGTTAGGTCAGGAAGGGTTGGATCAGGTTTGGTATGGTTGGGTTGGGTCACGATGGGTCAGGTTGCGTAGGATTGAATTCTTGAGTTAAATTATTGGGTTGAGTTTTTAAAATCCGTTGGTGAATCCTCTTGGGTATAAGAAGTCCTTGGTATTGAATCAGTAAACTGACCGTGAGGATATATATTATTCATAACATTATATGTTAGTATAGGACACTGACAGGTGGAAAGTTTCAGAATTGTTGTCTAGGTGAGAGCCCCGACAAGAGGTACAAAATTAGCTTTGATGATTTTAATAAATAAATGTTTATTCAGGTAGAGTACATACATACAGGTTTTACAAAAATTGATAGATTTATAGATAGAGCTGGTACATACAATGCCTAAAGCCACTATTACGCAAAGCGGTTCGGGCAGGAAAAACATTAAAGACTAAAACTTAATAAACTTAATTTGAGAGTAATAAAGGCTAGGGTACACCTGGAGAGGTGATGTGGTTATAGTGTTATTAAGTGTTGAGCTGTGGTGATATTACCTGGGTGGTGTTGGGCGTGGTGCACAACCTTCCATGGACTTGGAGGCTCTATACAAACAATACTACACACTTGTTATTATTCTTCACATAATAAACCACTCACTACCGTAACTCTCAACCCAACATTGTATCACTATATAACACACACGCTTCCAACTTGTAACCAACGGACAATATTTGTAAACACAGATAACGCTTAGCAGATAAAAATATAATTCAATGGAAGAGTGTTGCAAACTGCATCGATCAGCTGATCCCGGCCACCATTGGCCGCGGTCCCGGGGATACTAGTCATTGCCCGCGGTCAAGGGGATGGTAGTCATTGCCCGCGGTCCCGGGGATACTAGTCATTGCCCGCGGTCCCGGGGATACTAGTCATTGCCCGCGGTCAAGGGGATACTAGTCATTGCCCGCGGTCAAGGGGATACTAGTCATTGGCCGCTGTCAAGGGGATGGTAATCATTGCCCGCGGTCCCGGGGATACTAGTCATTGACCGCAGTCCCGGGGATGATAGTCAGTGGCCGCAGTCCCGGGGATACTAGTCATTGACCGCAGTCCCGGGGATGATAGTCAGTGGCCGCAGTCCCGGGGATGATAGTCAGTGGCCGCAGTCTTGGGGATGATAGTCAGTGGCCGCAGTCCTGGGGATGATAGTCAGTGGCCGCAGTCCCGGGGATGATAGTCAGTGGCCGCAGTCCTGGGGATGATAGTCAGTGGCCGCAGTCCCGGGGATGATAGTCAGTGGCCGCAGTCCTGGGGATGATAGTCAGTGGCCGCAGTCCTGGGGATGATAGTCAGTGGCCGCAGTCCTGGGGATGATAGTCAGTGGCCGCAGTCCCGGGGATGATAGTCAGTGGCCGCAGTCCTGGGGATGATAGTCAGTGGCCGCAGTCCTGGGGATGATAGTCAGTGGCCGCAGTCCCGGGGATGATAGTCAGTGGCCGCAGTCCTGGGGATGATAGTCAGTGGCCGCAGTCCTGGGGATGATAGTCAGTGGCCGCAGTCCCGGGGATGATAGTCAGTGGCTGCAGTCCCGGGGATGATAGTGGCCGCAGTCCCGGGGATGATAGTCAATGGCCGCAGTCCCGGGGATGATAGTGGCCGCAGTCCCGGGGATGATAGTCAGTGGCCGCAGTCCCGGGGATGATAGTCAGTGGCTGCAGTCCCGGGGATGATAGTCAGTGGCCGCAGTCCCGGGGATGATAGTCAGTGGCTGCAGACCCGGGGATGATAGTGGCCGCAGTCCCGGGGATGATAGTCAGTGGCCGCAGTCCTGGGGATGATAGTCAGTGGCCGCAGTCCTGGGGATGATAGTGGCTGCAGTCCCGGGGATGATAGTCAATGGCCGCAGTCCCGGGATGATAGTCAGTGGCCGCAGTCCCGGGGATGATAGTCAGTGGCCACAGTCCTGGGGATGATAGTGGCCGCAGTCCTGGGGATGATAGTCAGTGGCCGCAGTCCCGGGGATGATAGTCAGTGGCTGCAGTCCCGGGGATGATAGTCAATGGCCGCAGTCCCGGGGATGATAGTCAGTGGCTGCAGTCCCGGGGATGATAGTGGCCGCAGTCCCGGGGATGATAGTCAGTGGCCGCAGTCCTGGGGATGATAGTCAGTGGCTGCAGTCCCGGGGATGATAGTCAGTGGCTGTAGTCCCGGGGATGATAGTGGCCGCAGTCCCGGGGATGATAGTCAGTGGCCGCAGTCCTGGGGATGATAGTCAGTGGCCGCAGTCCTGGGGATGATAGTGGCCGCAGTCCCGGGGATGATAGTCAATGGCCGCAGTCCCGGGGATGATAGTCAGTGGCCGCAGTCCCGGGGATGATAGTCAGTGGCCGCAGTCCTGGGGATGATAGTCAGTGGCCGCAGTCCTGGGGATGATAGTCAGTGGCCGCAGTCCCGGGGATGATAGTCAGTGGCTGCAGTCCCGGGGATGATAGTGGCCGCAGTCCCGGGGATGATAGTCAATGGCCGCAGTCCCGGGGATGATAGTCAGTGGCTGCAGTCCCGGGGATGATAGTGGCCGCAGTCCCGGGGATGATAGTCAGTGGCTGTAGTCCCGGGGATGATAGTGGCCGCAGTCCCGGGGATGATAGTCAGTGGCCGCAGTCCTGGGGATGATAGTCAGTGGCCGCAGTCCTGGGGATGATAGTGGCCGCAGTCCCGGGGATGATAGTCAATGGCCGCAGTCCCGGGGATGATAGTCAGTGGCCGCAGTCCCGGGGATGATAGTCAGTGGCCGCAGTCCTGGGGATGATAGTCAGTGGCCGCAGTCCTGGGGATGATAGTCAGTGGCCGCAGTCCCGGGGATGATAGTGGCTGCAGTCCCGGGGATGATAGTCAATGGCCGCAGTCCCGGGGATGATAGTCAGTGGCCGCAGTCCCCGGGGATGATAGTGGCCGCAGTCCCGGGGATGATAGTCAGTGGCTGCAGTCCCGGGGATGATAGTGGCCGCAGTCCCGGGGATGATAGTCAGTGGCCGCAGTCCCGGGGATGATAGTCAGTGGCCGTAGTCCCGGGGATGATAGTCAGTGGCTGCAGTCCCTGGGATGATAGTGGCCGCAGTCCTGGGGATGATAGTGGCCGCAGTCCCGGGGATGATAGTCAGTGGCCGCAGTCCTGGGGATGATAGCCAGTGGCCACAGTCCTGGGGATGATAGTCAGTGGCCGCAGTCCCGGGGATGATAGTCAGTGGCCGCAGTCCTGGGGATGATAGTGGCCGCAGTCCCGGGGATGATAGTCAGTGGCCGCAGTCCCGGGGATGATAGTCAGTGGCCGCAGTCCCGGGGATGATAGTCAGTGGTCGCAGTCCCGGGGATGATAGTGGCCGCAGTCCCGGGGATGATAGTCAGTGGCCGCAGTCCTGGGGATGATAGTCAGTGGCCGCAGTCCTGGGGATGATAGTCAGTGGCTGCAGTCCCGAGGATGATAGTCAGTGGCCGCAGTCCTGGGGATGATAGTCAGTGGCCGCAGTCCTGGGGATGATAGTCAGTGGCTGCAGTCCCGGGGATGATAGTCAGTGGCCGCAGTCCCGGGGATGATAGTCAGTGGCCGCAGTTCCGGGGATGATAGTCAGTGGCCGCAGTCCCGGGGATGATAGTCAGTGGCCGCAGACCCGGGGATACTAGTCATGTGCCCGCAGTCCTATGGATACTAGTCAACTTCAAATTCAAGTTCAAATGTTTATTCAGGTAAAAGTACATACATAAAAGATGAGTTACAAACATAATGTTGGATTTATACATAAAGCTAGTACATACAGTACACTACCTAAAGTCACTAATATGCATTGGGTTTCGGGCAAGGTGTGGGGGGGAAAAACACTAAATACTAATTGAAATTAAAGTGGGTTAATATAATTCTTATATTAATATTAATGGTAATATTTCTTGGCTATCTGCAGGCTTATCACTTTGGGGGTTCCGGCGGAGCACCCCCAAAGATACTGCAAATGCTTAGCAAGCTAGAAGAAGTGCCCCCTGAGCCTGCCTGTGCGTCGTCCCTTGGAAAAGAAAACAGGGGATGCAGAGGATTCCGGGAGGAGGGTGAGCTTTTTGCAAGTGAGCAGCTGCTTGTTTGTCGAGAACAGAGGCCCGCCCAGTCCTCGGCAGAGCTTATATAACTTCGTCTCGTTGTGCGCAGCTTGGGTGGTTAGACTCGGCTGCCCTGCACACATTTTCTTTCCTCAGAAAATCCACCGCTTTTTCTTTGGAAAAAAGCAGTGTTCTTTTCTTTTAACCATGTTGTGACGCAGTTGACTAAGGCGCATCTGGGATCTTCCCGGACATATGTTCGAGCCCTCATCAAGGCCCTTGTGAATTTGTTCATTTGATATATCACGCTGTTGTGATTTCTGTGTGTATTGAAGTAAGGGCAAAGAGGTAGAACATCTGGCTGACAGAGCCCAGTGCATGGGAGAATTGTATGAAATCCCGGTTTATGCTTCGGGGAAGCTGTGGCGAGACCCCCGTTCGGGTCTCGAAGAACGCTCAGTTGAATGCCAGTGTTGGCACTATTTTGCTCCCGCCCCATGTTGCGACCGGTGTTCGGGACCTGCGCGACTGCCACGACGATATTCGACATATCCTCGCTGCCCAGGGCCATTCTATTCTCCAGGTGGACACGTTTACTCGTCCCCCTCGTGGTAGTCGCCGTCAACCCCTCCGGGTTGTGAAGATTACCTTTGATGGTAGGACCCTTCCACCCTCTGTCATTCTTGCTGGTGCCAGGTGCTCTGTCCAGGAGTACATTCCTTCTCCTCGGCTCTGCAACAAGTGCTGGAGGTTTGGGCATGGTGCCCTCCGCTGCTCCGAGACTGTCTCTCTCTGTCCTTTGTGTGGTGGCGAAGGTCACTCTAAGTCGGAGTGCGCTTCTCCCCAGGCTCGTTGCCTCAACTGCGGTGAGGCCCATCCTACCTTCTCCCGTGCGTGTGTCCATTACAAGCTTGAGGCAGCCGTCCTCAACTTGAAGCACCGGGAGCGTTTATCTTTTCCTGAGGCGAGGCGCCAGGTTCGCCGGCTCCCGCCTTATGCTAATATCTCTTATGCTCGCGTGTTGCGCTCTTCCTCTCCTCGTCCTTCCCGCCTTCCTCAGACTCACAACCGTTTCCGGGCCTTGGACCCTGATGCGCCCACTGCCCCCTCCTCTGTCCCTTTGGGTTCTCTCCCGAAGGATCCTCCTCCTGGTCCTCTGTCTGGGGTTCCCCTTCCTTCTACCCGGTCTGTCGTGTCTTCTGTGTCTTCTTCCTCGTCCCCCTCCGATCCTCCTTCCCATCCTCTTCCTCCATCTATCGGCTTTCCCCACCGCCTGTCGGTGCGGGCGGATGTCCATCGCTCTCCTAACAGCCGTCGTGTGTGCTCTCGTTCGGCTTCTCCTGTTGAGACACTGGAATCCGTTGCCCGGTACGTGGTTGCTGGGACACCAGTCTCTTTAAGTCAGAAGCGTAAGCCTGGCTCCTCTCCTTCCTCTTCCCCGGTGGGTAAGAAGGCTTCGCTTTCTTCCTCAGCTCCTCCTTCTGGCTCTGTTGCTCCTTCCCCTCCCGTTTCAGTGCTTGCGCCCCCTGTTCCTGCTATGGAGGTTTCTTTGGCCCCTGCTTCCCTTTCGGTTGCTGCTCTTGCTGGGGTGCGCTCCCCTCTTTCTACTCCCCCTCTTCCTGCTGCTGTCCTTGACTGCTCCTCTCCGTTGTCTCCTCCTCCTCCTCCTCCTCCTCCTCCGGATCCTGCCCGCCCACCTCTGATCTGTTCTCCCGTTTCCTTCCCTCCGTCTTTACTCAGTTTACCCATGCCCCCTAATCCTGACTTTGCTGACCCTGATCCCGACCCTGATATTCTTTAACGTGCTCTGTTGGTCTTTCGCCTTTGTTTCTTCCTTGTTCTCTGTTTTTGTCCTTTCTCTTCTCGTCGTTGTCCATTCTTC